CAGCTTCAGCTTGAACTTGCATATGAGTAGTTGGTGGTCTGTTCCACAATCAGCTCCTGGCCTAGTTTTCACAGCTGATATTGAGCTTCTCCAGTGGTTCTTTCCGCAGATGTAATCAGTCTGATCCCTATGCATACCATCAGGTGAAATCCATGTATATAACCTGCGTTTATGTCTCTTAAAAATGTATTTGCAATTTTCGGGTATGGTAATACAGAGGAGGAGGAACAGTTGTAAGCAGACACTGGTGATTGGGACATGGAATGTGAGAACCACGAATGTAGGAAAGTTAGATATTGTTAAGGAAGAAATGGAACACATAAATATTCACATACTAGGCATTGGTGAGATGAGATGGACTGGCATGGAGCATTTTGAGTCAGATGATCATATATTACTCTGGAGATGAAAAGGTGAGGAAAATGGAGTTGCTTTCATAGTTAAGAAAGCCATTGCTAGATCCATCTTGAAGTACAATATTGAGAATGACAGGATAATATCCATATGCATACAAGGAAGGCCAGTAAATACCACTATCATTCAGATATATGCACCAACAACCAGAGCCAAGGAAGAGGAAACAGAAGATTTTTAACCAACTTTTACAGTCAGAGATCGATCCAACATGCAATCAAGATGCATTGACAATAATGGGTGACTGGAATGCAAAAGTTGGGAACAGAGAAGATTCAGTAGTTGGAAAACATGGACTCAGTGACAGAAATGGAGCTGGAGAGAGGATGATTGAATTTTTAAAGAATATACTATAGGCTGGGAAAAAAGTCTGACTTGGAAGAAAGGCAGATAGTGTTCCTTACAGGCAAGAATGAGGAAACATATCACATACTGTTTGGATATGTTATCAGAAGTTTCCAGTCTTAGAAAAAAACACATCATGCTTGAAAAAGTACAGGTTCAGAAGAAGAAGACCCTCAGTGAGATAGATTGACAAAGTGACTACAACAGTGGACTTGAGCAAGGCAGAGATGCTGAGGATGGTGCAGGATAGGGCCACGTTTTGATCTGATGTCTGATGTTCACAGGGTTGTTATGAGTCCTGGTCATTTTGCCAGCACCTAACAAGAAGACTTACATTTAATGGTGCCTGTGTGAAACCTAGACCTAGACCAAGAGGCTATTGTTGTAAACAAAGCAAGAGAACACTATATGGTTTAAAATTAAGACAGGTATGTGTCAAGGTTGTATCCTTGGTGCAACCACTGTGGAAGGCGGTATGGCGCTTTCTCAAAAAGTTGCAAATAGAAATACGATTTGACCCAGCAATTCCACTACTGGGAACATACCCCAAAGAGACCATAACTGACATCCAAACAGATATATACACACCCATGTTTATTGCAGTTTTGTTCACAATAGCAAGGAGTTGGAAATAACCTAAGTGCCCATCAACAAATGAATGGCTAGAGAAGCTGTGGTATATTCACACAATGGAATACTATGCTGCATTGAAAAACAAGGAACTCATGCAATATTATGCTGAGTGAAATATCTCAGTCACATAAGGACAAATACTGTATGGTGCCACTGTTGTAAAACAGGACTGACCTTGGGGTTGGGGAGAGACTGAGAAAGATGGGTTCAACAATGTATACTGCATTGAAACAGATGAAGGAGAAAACTGTTTAAAAGGGATATGTGATTAGGTATTTTTGTCATGACAGGAGTCTAGAGCGAAGGCTACATGGTGGAGTGGACCTGGGGGAGGGTTTGTAAAACAATGAAAGAATTTACAAGTTTTGCTAACTTAGCACTGTGTGTACATCTGTTCACTTCCTTACGGTCACCTCCTTATCCCCTAGCAAGAAATATTAGGAAACTATTGTGTATCACAAATTGGAGTGGTGAAGAGGTTTTTAAAAAAACAAAACAAAACAAAACAATCTCTAGTTTTAGCACATTTCAAGTATGGCCAAGAGAAAAATTGCCAAAAGTGGGGTGCATCTTTTTGGATGCAGGCTCCCACACTGGGGGAGATCACGCATAAAAAGAGAGTCCTATTTTAGGGCATTATTTTTATCGTAGGAGTATGCAATGAGGGTTGTAGAGTGGATTATATTTGGGGCTAGGGGGTGGGGTTTGGGGAGGT